GGGCATGCTGTGCTCCAAAGAAGAGACTCAAGTCCTCCCCACGAGTCCGTAAACTCCTAAACTCTATAAATCCCTTTGGGTCCACAGACAAAAGGAGCACTTCCTCCTGCAGCTGCAGCTGGTGCTCTCCACGGCCGTTTGGGTGCAGATTCGCTCGGTTGCTGTTACGGGTTCAGGGGGATTTAGGGGGTTCGGGAGGTTCAGGGTTGGGGGTGTAGGGTGTAGGGTTTAAGGTTGAGGGTGCTGTTTCCGGTTCAGGGGGCTTGGGCAGTGAGATCTAGGCATCTAACGTGGCACTCAACACTAGGGTTGCCTTTCAACTAGCAACTAGCTTTGCCTGGCCCTAAACCCTAAACCCTAGACCCTAAACCCTAAACCCTTTCGGTTGAGAAAGTCGAGGGGCTAGTCTAGAGAAAGACTGGGCGACAGACCCCAAGCAACAGTCTCAAGAAGCCCAGAGATGGGTTCTTGAAGACAAGGCTCCGATGGCAGCTGAGTTAAGTTTGTGTACTGGCTCTGAACACGGAATTAAGGAACTCGTTTACATATATATATATATATATTCCCCTAAGTATACTTTGAGTCATGATGTATTATGGTAACTATCTCATGCAACCCCAGTAAGTTTTGAACACTTTCCATCCCTAGTCAGGGAGCTCCCCAAAACCAAGATGGCCTCGCAGGACGGCGTGCGGGCCACCATATGACACAAAATCCTGTCTTCGAAGGGTAGCTGCATGGCCCCTTTATAGGGTCCCCAAACCCTTCTTTTGAGGGTTTATAGGGTACAGGGCAACGACCCTGCGATGTGTCGAATCGCCCGCTGACTGGAGGCCACGCGCGTGCGCAACGCGTTGGAGGAGGGTTCTCCGGATGAGGTGGCCAAGATCATGGATGACGGAGACACAGGCTTGGGTGGTTACAGGACTATATCCTCCTCGGATATTCTATTTTATTTTATCTCTAGCAAGTTATGCATGGGCTGATTATGCATGGATATCACAACATTGTAAACCCTAAGGCCTAAGCCCTAATCCCTAAACAACATGTCTCTGACCAACTGGGTCCGGAGGTGTTCACCTCTTAGTTGAGATCCGTAAACCCTAAACCCTAAACCCTAAACCCTAAAAACTAAACCCTAAACCCTAAAACCCTAAACCCTAAACCCTAAACCCCAGCGATCCCGGAAAGGCATCACTCAGCAGGTGCTGAAGGAGGTGGTCACCGAAGCTGGGCGTGAGGCAGGGAGGCCTTGGGGCTTAAGGCGCTTGCGGGGGTGCTTCCTTTCGGCCTAAACCCTAAACCCTAAACCCTAACCCTAAACCCTAAACCCTGAACCCTGAACCCTGAACCCTGAACCCTGAACCCTGAACCCTGAACCCTGAACCCTGAACCCTGAACCCTAAACCCTAAATCCTAAACCCTGAACCCTAAGCCCTAAGCCCCATGCCCGAAACCCCCGCTTAGGATCTCCTGCGCTCTTCTCGCATGGGACGTCCGATGACATCTGGCATAAACCCCGAAACCCCTACACCCCTACACTTTAACCTCTGAACAAATTCCTTAGTTCTTCAAATCAGGGTCGCTTTTGGGGTCCTTGTGTTAACGGGCGCCGAGCTATGTGGGGGACCCCAAGAGGGGAACCTTGTTTAGAGAAGTACCCACATGGCTGGTGGATACTTCGTGTCGTCTCGGCGTTTCTGGTGAGGTCATGGCCTTCGTCGTTTCGTCCTGAAGTGCTGCACCTTGCGGTGTGGCTGTTCTGGTTGGCGGGTGCCCACAAATCCCAAACCCCAACCAACCCTGAACCCTCAAGCCCAAAGCCTGAATACTACGCTTGGCAGGAACCAACCCTAAACCCTCAACCCTGAACCCTATGAACCCTATGCACCCTATAAACCATCTAAAACTGTATAAACCCTATAAAACCCTATAAAACCCGATAAAACCCCATAAAACCCCATAAAACCCTACAAGCCCCTAAGAACCCTGCAAACCCCTAAGAGCCCTGCACACCCGGAACGCTGAGCCGGTGTGCGAGGTTGGCGAGCTGCAGGGGGTCCATCAGAGCTGGGACACGAGCAGCTACCTCGGATTCGAATGGGTGAATTGGGTGTGGGGTTCAAGGTTTCGGCGGTTTAGGGTGTAGGGTTTAGGGCTTAGGGTTTAGGGTTTCGGAGTCTGCTACTACCGGCCCTGACTTCATAGCCCAGATGCAGAAACAGGGTTTAGGGTCTCAAGAGAAGTTTTTGTGAAGGAAGCTCTTGGCATGTACCCGTTGGGATGTTCCCCCTTATACTAACATCCCTTAATAGGGATGATGAATCCCTTTTAAACGCTGTTAGTGTAAGGGGGAGCATCCCAATGTACCGGTCTTAACAACAGCCCTTAGTTAGCACTATCTTTCCTCCATGAAGGTTTTTGTATGAACTGATGTTGGTGTATAGGCTACCATTATTTGGCACCTTGCCCATTACGAAAGACATGTGTTTTCTCATTCCCTTATGACGAGGGTTCAAGACATTCTATTTTTTCGAACTGATGGAAGCAAGATCTTCGGGTCTTTTGCGTTCTCGTCCTATGTCCTTTCGAATTTAATTCATAAACCAAAGATCCGAAACTTCAAGAATTTCTGAAGGTAAGTGTGAGCCAGTCTTCGACTGAAACAAAGCCTTCATGGAGTTCCCTAAACCCTAAACCCTAAACCCTTAACCCTAAACCCTAAACCCTAAACCCTAAACCCTAAACCCTAAACCCGAGCCCTAAACCCTAAACCCTAAACCCTAAACCCTAAACCCTAAACCCTAAACCCTAAACCCTAAACCCTAAACCCTTACGGAGCCTTAGGGCTCCGGGTGGCCAGGTTCAGGTTTTTTGCAGTCTGTTAGGGATGAGGGCTTCGACCTCGGGGTGTTTAGGGTTTAGGGTTTAGGGTTTAGGGTTTCGGGGGCGTTTTTTCGAAGCCCTCAAATTCATGGCTTTTGGGTTTTTTTGGGGGGTTTTTGAGGGCTGTTTAGGGCTTTTTTGGGGGCTTCTAGGGCTTGTTGGGAGTAAGGTTTACACGAAACCCTGGACCCTGAACCCTTAACGGACAGAGTTCGGGTTTTTCACTGGGGCGCAGGATCCCAATGTGGGCTTTCATGGGGCTCAGTGCTCAGGTCATACTGGAGTCATTCTTGGGTTTAGGGTTTAGGGTTTAGGGTTTAAGCATGATCTGACGTTTGGTCATACCTGATCCGCAGAACGTCGTCGTAAGCCCCTCTGCAGCCGAGCCCAAATGGGTATTGTCCCAAAATAGGGGTACCCCTTTGATGCCCCAAATAGAGTAATCGAATCCCCTTAAAGGGGGCCCCAAAAAGAGTACTCTCATTTTCGGAAACCCCCACACGGCCCAGTGGTACCCCGCAGCACCCAAAGGGAGGCTGTTCTAGAATCGGGGCCTTGAAATTCTAAGGAGCACGCATGCTTTCACAGAGACTCCCGGAACCTTAAACCCTGGTAACAAGACCCCCCCCCCCCCCCCCCAAATTTGGGTTTACGGCATTGGGGGGTACCTTATTCGGGATCCTTACTATAAGGGAATCCTACTCTTTGGGGGCCTAAACCCTAAACCCTAAACCCTAAACCCTAAACCCTAAACCCTAAACCCTAAACCCTAAACCCTAAACCCTAAACCCTAAACCCTAAACCCTAAACCCTAAACCCATATCAGGGTCCCTTATGTTTCGCAAAGCCCCCCCAAAAGTGGGCCGAGCGAGGCATGGCCTTACGCATCGCGCGGCTGATCCGCTGCTCTGAAGAGGCGGACCAGGCCCCGGCAAGAATCGGTGTATATAGGGGCCTCTGGAGGCTTTTAGGGTTTGGGGGTTTAGGGGTTTAGGGCTTTAGGGCTTTAGGGTTTAGGGGAAGGGGTTAGGGGCTCTTTAAGGGGGGGGGGAAGGGTCCGTTTAGGGGTTCCATGTTTCTAGAGGGGCCTATAAGCTGGTTCCTACCCCAGTTTGCCAAGCCCCACCTAAAGTAGCTTGAACTTGGCTTAGGCTTAGGGTTTAGGGTTTAGGGTCTAGGCAGTCCTAGCCGTAAAAAAGGGTCTAGGTTTATAGGGTTTAGGGTTTGGGGTTTAGGGTTTAGGGTTTAGGGTTGCCGGCAGCCTCAGTCCATGCTTAAAAAGGGTTTAGGGTTTAGGACAGAGAGAGAGAGGGTTTAAGGTTTAGGTTTAGGGTTTAGGGTTTAGGGTTTAGGGCTCTGACCTGGATGCAAAAGGCGCAGCCCCCCCCGCACCTTCCATAATTCTGCACCCCTAAACCCCCTAAACCCCCTGAACCCCCCTAAACCCTAAACCCTAAACCCTAAAATCCCTCGTGGGCGGCTTGAGATCATCAGACAGGCCAACCGTGGTGATGCGAACCCCCAAAAACGACGAGACGAAACTATGAACTCTGAAACCCTAAAGATTAGGGTCTAGGGTTTAGGGTTTAGGGTTTAGGGTTTAGGGTTTAGGGTTTAGGGTTTAGGGTTTAGGGTTTAGCCCTCAGGCTTGTTTTGTTGGGGCTGCTGCTGCTGGCTGTAGGGCTTACCTGGCCCCCTACGGAATCCACCTTTCTGGCGACCTTGGCCTCGGCTTCTTTTGGGAGCAGGGTGGGTTTCATGTTTAGGATTAGGGTTTAGGTTTAGCTTTAGGGTTTAGGGTTTGGGGTTAGGGTTCAGGGTTCCATGGAATTCAGGTTTAGGGGGCTTAAAGGAGCTTAAGGTTTCAGGTGAAGCCCGAACCCCTAAACCCGACACCCCAAACCCTAAGCCCTAAGCCCTAAGCCCTAAGCCCTAAGCCCTAAGCCCTAAGCCCCAAGCACCAAGCCCTAAGCCCTAAGCCCTAAGCCCTAAACCCTAAGCCCTAAGCCCTAAACCCCAAACCCTAAACCCAAACCTTCAGCTGCTTCCGGTAGGCAGCCATCGACTTGGCGCAGGCAAGGTGTCTTAGTAGACCCAAACCTCAAGCATCTTGAACGCCAGGGTTTAGGGGTTTAGGGTTTAGGGTTTCGGGTTTAGGGTTTAGGGTTTTGGGTATTTAGGGTTTAGGGTTTAGGGTAGTAAGGTTTAGGGTATTTAGAAAGGTATGTTCAGGGTGTAGGGTAGTTTCCGAAGATTCAAGTTTCCCTGTATCTGCTGGGAAACCCCATAAAATTTCAACCCATGCCTGCCCGCTGCGGATTAGTTCTTAAGAGGGGATTGTAGCGCCCTGCCGCCCATAGAACCCTTTGAGGGATTATGGAAGAACAGGTGCCCGATTTCCTGACCTGACGAAGATCCTGGAAGGTTTTCGCCTTTCAAGTCTTGGTTGCAAACGCTGCAGCACCTGTGGGATCAGGGCGATGTGCACTGCGGCCTAAACCCTAAACCCTACCTAAACCCTACCTACCCCCCCACCCCCCCCCAGAGCATAGGCGGCGTCAGTTCGGCGGGGGTTTCGGTGGGGGTGTTCCAACTCTCAAGACTCTTCAGAGAGGTAGAGCTCTCCATCGACCGCTTTCCCAAAGAGCAGAACGCGAAGACCACCAAGGCGCTACTCCGCGGGCGTCAGGTTCAGGGTCAAGCCTCTAACTTGCTGATCCTGGTGGAGTCCCAGTGGTGCCGTTTTCCCTTTTTGGGGTTCAAGGTTCCCTCATCAAGTAACCAACCCAAAAAAGGCTGCCCTTATGATGATGTGGTGACTGGGCTACCAAGCCATTCCCCTTAACTGTTTTTGAAGACTACCGGATACTTGTTAGTGTTTGGGGGTTCAGGGTCTTTGTGGTTGCTTACATGTGAGAATCCCTGACACACCCTAAACCCCAAACCCTAAACCCTCAGCCCTAAACCCTCAACCCTAAACCCTAAACCCCCTGCGCAGCCAGGTGGTGCTGTCGATGCTCGAAAACCGAAAGCGGGGCCTCCAGGCCACGCCTCTGCACATCGGGCCCTCGAGTTTTAAGGGGGCTTTTCGGGGTTTCGGGGTTGAGGGGTTTAGGGTTTAGGGTTTAGGAGTAAAGGGTTTAAGGTTTAGAGGTTTTGGGGGTTTAGGGGGGCCAGGGTTTTTTTTTTTATAAAAGGTGTGGCTCGGGCCTCCTTTTTTTTAAAAGGTGTGGCTCATCCCCCCCCCCCCCCCGGTCCTTTGGTCCCCTGGTCCTCTGGTCCCCTGGTCCTCTGGTCCCCTGGTCCTCTGGTCCCCTGGTCCTCTGGTCCCCTGGTCCTCCGGTCCCCTGGTCCCGTGGTCCCCTTGGTCCCGTCGTTTTGTCCCGTGGTCCTCTGCTCCCCTGGTCCTGTTGTTCCCTTGGTCCCGCAGTCCTCTGGTCCCCTGGTCCCGTGGTCCCCTTGGTCCCGTCCCCGTGGTCCCTGATCTTAATTTATGATATAATACATCATATAATGTAAAATATATAGTTTGCAATGTGATATATATATATATATATATATATATATATATATATATATATATATATAATAAATATATCTTATATCTTATATATTATATATTATATATTATATATTATATATGTATAACATACAGTACATAGCATATACTATAAAATGGAGGGGCTGCGCCCCCCCCCCCCCCCCAAGCCCCCCGCGTTGAAGCCGTGCAAAACCCCGCTTTTTAAGCCGTGCAAGCTTGTTCAAAGCATATGAATCTTTTGGGAAACCCATCATGCAAGCATTTGATGTTTGCAAATTGGGGGGGGGGGGGGGGCTGCGCCCCCCCCAACCCCCTCGCCTTTTTTTAAGCCGTGCAAGCTTGCTTCAAAGCATATGAATCTTGAAACCTACATGCAAGCATTGAGTTTGCAAATGGGGGGGGGCTGCGCCCCCCCAACCCCCCCGCCTTTTTTAAGCCGTGCAAGCTTGCATCAAAGCATATGAAACTTTAAACCCATCATGCAAGCATTGAGTAATTGCAAATGGGGGGGCTGCGCCCCCCCCCAACCCCCCGGCTTTTTTAAGCCGTGCAAGCTTGCTTCAAAGCATATGAATCTTGAAACCCATCATGCAAGCATTGAGTAATTGCAAATGGGGGGGGGGCTGCGCCCCCCCCCAACCCCCCCGCTTTTTTAAGCCGTGCAAGCTTGCTTCAATGCATATGAATCTTGAAACCTACATGCAAGCATTGAGTTTGCAAATGGGGGGGGCTGCGCCCCCCCCAACCCCCCCGCTTTTTTAAGCCGTGCAAGCTTGCGTCAAAGCATATGAGTCTTGTTGAAACCCATGATGCAAGCATTGAGTTTGCAAATGGGGGGGGCTGCGCCCCCCCCAACCCCCCCGCTTTTTTAAGCCGTGCAAGCTTGTTTCAAAGCATATGAATCTTTTTGAAACCCATCATGCAAGCATTGAGTTTGCAAATGGGGGGGGCTGTGCCCCCCCCAACCCCCCCGCTTTTTTAAGCCGTGCAAGCTTGTTTCAAAGCATATGAATCTTTTTGAAACCCATCATGCAAGCATTGAGTTTGCAAATGGGGGGGGGGCTGTGCCCCCC